AATTTGATTCTGACCTTTTCATTTTTTCGTTAGCTTTTATCTCTCGCCGAGCTCCGTGGTGTTCCCTTCCCAACGCCAAAGGTCCAAACTTTGATTGTTAAAACGAGGGATTATCAACCTCTTATTCCTGGTATAGCAAAGTTATTACAAAATTCACCTGGATTAAAGAAGCTAACACAACGCATGGCATCTTTACCATTACACTTTTGTTATTTTCTTTATATACTAAGACCTTGCAAACTTATAATGATTACGTATACGTTCCAAGAACCATGTCTTTCAATTTTTGTGGGGATAATCTATATAGGATTGATATTTTGTAAAATCAAGTTTTGATATGCTTTAAGACATTTTTAAAAAAATTTCTACAGGATGAGGATTTTGACAGCTATTTTGATTCACAAGGCTTGAATCTGCTAGATCAATTATGTTGGAGATCAAAATATAATGCACGAGAGCTCTATTCCATGTTGCGTAGTCAGAATGCAATTTTTGTTCATAATTAAAATTTGTGCTTAGAAACGCAAAGACACTAGAAAAGGTCGTTTACGGCTGGAAAATATTTACTTTGATGATCCAAAATGGTTTGAAGAACAACTTGAGACGGTTCGGAACCTTTCTCACGACAATAATGTCTCTATTGAGCTAAAACTAAGCAGTTAATCAATATTTGCTCTAGCTAGCTAGTGTTTTTAGTCTTGAATATGGTATATCATTTTAGAATGAAACTAAAGAACTAATAGAATGGAACCTCTTTGTATTTGAATTTTCAGTGAATATTTTGATAGTTGACTATTTGGGTGTTCGTTGTCCTATGAAACATTGGTCAATAATTCCTTGGTTTTTGTTGAATAACTCATGTTTAAGGCATCCATCTATCTCATGTACGTAACTCGCATTTTAAAGCTGATTAGCAATCGAAATTTGATTGCATGTGGTATAAAATTAGGTAACTAGCATTTGGGAGAAGTGAAGGAAAAATTTGCCAAAAATACAAAAAAAAAAAATTATAATTTGAAAACTAACCAAAAATCTTAAATCTAATGGTCTATAAATTGCCACGTATTTCCATTTTCCTAACTTTTTAATTTTTTTAATTTTTTTTTGGTTATTCACCAAAAAAAGCCCGAAAGTGAATTAAGTATAAAAAATGTAACCAATTTTCTTACACAAAAATAAAGAAAGAAATCATATTTTTGAAAATTTATTTGATTATTATTTATTGAGGTCAGTAGTCCCACAATTTATTTGTATTTACAAAAAGAGTCACAATTTTATAATAATACAGAAAGGGTAATTCGAGATTCGATGGTCTCATGGCTGAAACTTTCCGGCATCAAGACGGCGACACTATCGCCGTCGAAATCCCTAACCACCTCAAAACAATGATCGGCGATTCAAACGACGGTTTCGATTTCATCAGCTCTCTACCCGACGCGATTCTCCATCTTATCCTTTCCTCGATTCCCACAAAATCCGCTATTAGAACCTCTGTCTTGTCCAAACGATGGAGGTATGTTTGGTCTGAAACACCTTCAATCTCCATTGATAGCCATAGAGTTGTTACTAAATCGATAAACAAAACCTTATCTAACTTCTCCTCTACCAAAATCACTAGTTTCCATCTTTGTACAAGCTTAGTCAATAGGATTCAACCTGTTAATAGCTGGATCGAGTTTGCTATTTCACATGACACAGAGAAACTGTCTCTCGAGTTTCGTGATACTCGTGTTAGAGATTACAGTTTTCCTGATTTCTTCTACACCAATTCCACTGTGAAGCATCTCTTTGTCGACTCAGGATCTGTTGTAATGATACCTAAATGCTCTGTTTCTTGGACATCTTTAAAGAACTTGTCTTTGAGTAACTGTAAGCTTTCTGATGAATCGCTTCTTAAGATTCTGTCTGGTTGTCCAATGCTTGAAAGCTTGGAATTGCTGTTTTGTGATGAGTTTCGGTGTCTTGATCTGAGTCGGTCTCCGTGTGTAAGAAGATTGGAGATTGATCGAAGCGATTGGTTTCTCGGGCCAACAGAGATTGTGGCACCACATGTTCATTGTTTGAGATTGAGACATTCTCGATTACCATGTAGTTTAGTGGATGTTTCTTCTTTAGTTGAAGCTAACTTGAACATTTACTTTTGCGATCTCGGAACGCTTACGGCTGATTTTCTTCAAGGGAATGTGATTAAGATGCTAAAAAAATTGCAGAATGTAGAGAAGCTTACAATTGGGGCTACCTTTCTTCAGGTTTGTTAGTCATTTTATTGCATTTTCTAACTCTCTATCTCGTAGAATCACATAGCTTGTTCTTGGTGAATTTGTTGGTTTGCATATTCAAATTGGTCGATGGATTAGTTCTGATCAGGATTTGATATTGAATTTGTTTATGAGCGTTTAAGTTAAATGCATAATTAGATACTAAACTTTATCTGTCATCACCTTTTTCAGCTCGAAATGTTTCCTTTTTAAGCAATTGTTGAAGAATGGCTCATGTCTTGTTGTGCTTAGGTTCTTGTTCTTTTGATGAGGTCTGTGTTTTGGTATTAACTATATATATATATGCCTTTCAGATGTTATCTCTTGCGGCGCTATGTGGTGTACGTTTTCCGACGCTTAAGGTGGAGTCTTTGACTCTTGAAACGATGATTGTTCGGTCTGTTAATCCTGGTATAACAAAGCTTCTACAGAACTCACCTGGATTAAGAAAGCTAACAATACACACCGTGAAATGCAGCATCATATCGGTAATTTTACCATGAAGCCTCTTTTATTCACTACCATATTCTGAAAATCTGAAACATCGACACTCTCTTTGTATAAAAGGCTTCAAGTATGCATGATGAAATCTTTTTTCTTACTGTTTTACAGGAAGTGCATCTCAACAATTACTTGCGTTTACATAGCTTGAATCAGCGTCGATGCTGGAGATCAAAAGATGTGGTCTTCCCGGGCTCTATGGAGACCATTTCGATGTTGGTTGGTAAATACGCAGAGTCCAATCTTGTGGCTTCGTTCATGGAACTTTTACTGAGAAATACAAGAAGTCTAGAAACAATGGTTGTGCTCTTGGTAGGTTACCTTGATGCATCAGGTTTTGAAGAACTTGTTGCATTGGCTACAACACTTTCTCACAACAACAATGTCTTCATTTCGATCAAGCAAATCAATGTTAAAAATGTATCCAACACTTTCTGTAAATGACAATGTCTTCGATATGTCGTAAATTTATTTCTATTAATCTACACAATTTTACTCTCTCTAATCAAATCCTAATAATTGTTAAATTCTTGGCAACCAATTCATTAATAATTGTTCCTTCTTATTATATATCGACCTACCGAAAGTCCAAATTTTGTCACACATAAGATTTATTGTAACCCGACGGCCATGGAAGACCCTGCTACGGCCACCGTCGCCGTAGCAAACCCTAGCCACCACTTCGATCGTCGTCTAAAAATCGACGGTGGTGTAGACTCAATCAGCTCTCTACCAAACGAGATCCTCCACCAAATCCTGTCCTTTGTTACAACCAAGTCAGCTATCAAAACTAGTGTCTTGTCCAAACGATGGAGACATGTATGGTGCGAAACACCTTGTCTCTACTTTCATGGTCTTAATTCGTCTAGTGAATCGGTTAGCAAAACCCTAGCTAGCTACTCTGCCCCCAAAATCACGAGCTTCCGTATCTGTACTAGCGTTAGCAACAAGAAAAAGGCTCAACTTGTTAATAGCTTGATAGAGTTTGCAATGTCTCACAACGACGTAGAGAAGCTTTCTCTGGAAGTGTGGAGTAGTAATAATACGAACTACAGTCTTCCAGATTTCTTCTTTAGCAATTCTTCTTTAAAGCAACTCATTGTAGACACTGGATTTGATCTTATAAGTCCTAGATGCACCGTGTCTTGGACATCACTCAGGAGCTTGTCTTTGACCTGTGTTCAACTCTCTAATGAATCCCTTTCTAGGATGCTGTCTGGTTCTCCAATGCTGGAAAGCTTGACATTGGAGTATTATGGTTCACTTGAGTTTCTTGATCTGAGTAAAATGCAGTGCTTGAAAAGATTGGATATAGATTTGATCACTTGGGTTCTAGAACCGATTCGGATCGTGGCTCCTCATATCTTTTATTTGAGATTGAGAAGTTTGAGATTGAGAAATGATCGGTCACAAAGTATTTGTACTTTAGTTGATGTCTCCTCTTTAAACGAAGCTGACATTGACTTTCACCCACGCGTACCTAACGAGTGGTGTTATGCAACTAAAGTGAAGGATGTTGTTCTTCAAACCATGGTGCAAACAATGCTAGAAAAGTTGCAGAACGTAGCGAACCTTACTTTAGGGGTTAGCTTTCTTCAGGTATGTTACCTTTCTTGCATCCTTTAAATCCTCAATATGTCGTTAGAACTCTCTATGTTGCACAATCACTTGGTCTTTTGAGTAACTATGTGAAATATGTTTCTTTGTAGTCTGCAAATGTTCTAAAAAAATGATGAATGGTTTGCTTAGGCTTTTCTTTTGTTGAGAGGTCTATATTTTGGTACTCACCATCTTTCTTGTGGGGTATATGTTGTTATGTTAGATGCAATCTATTGCCGAGTTCCGTGGTGTTCCTTTCCCGACTTTCATGGTTAAAACTTTAACTCTTGAAACAAGGATTTTGCGGTCTGTAGTTCCTGGTATAGCAAGGCTGCTACAAAACTCACCTGGATTAAAGAAGATAACGCTTTACGCAATTAAGTGCAACACCAAAGTGGTATCTTTACCATGAACCTCTTTTATTATCTTTCCTATATCACAAATTAGTTCTCGATATGTTGTACAAATCTTGTGAAACTTGGTTTTAGTTTTCAAGATGAAATCTTTTTTCTGTTTATGCAGGATAAGTGTGTATACCGCTACATGTACAAGCAAGGCTTGAACTCGGATCAATGTTGGATATTGAAAGAAGTGGTCAGTCCAGCTTCTTGGGAGTGTGAAGTTGCAGAGCCGAAACTCGTGGCTTCGTTCATGGAACTTTTGCTGGCAAACACAAGAACACTTGAGACATTGGTCTTACGGTTAGGAAGCTATTTTGATAGATCAAGATTTGCAGAGCTCTCTGAAATCACTCATACACTTTCTCACGACAACAAGGTCTCGATCGTGATCAAGTGAAACGGTATTAAATCATGTATCATTAGGGGTTTTTTTTTAGTGTTGGATTCCATTGAACACTTTTATATTTGGTCAATTCTCGCTTAGAGAATGAAGTTTCTTTTAGAAGTTAATTTTTACCACACTTTCTCACAACAACAATGTCTTCATTTCAAATAGGAATTTTCGATCAAGCAAAGCCCTGTTAAAAATGTATCCAACACTTTCTCTTAATGATAATATCTTGACTTAACTAGTAAACGGGGCTAAACGGGATCATTTTTATAAAATAGTCCCGTTTTAACATCCAAATCTCAGGTTGATAGCTTGATCGAGTTTGCAACATCTCACAACACGGAGGATCTGTCTTCCCTGATTCTTGTGTTGCGGATTACGAGTTTCCTGGTTTCTTCTACAACAATTCCTCTTTAAAGCAACTCTTCTTCGAGTTGGGAGCTATTGTAATGATTCACACCCTGTCTTGGACATCTCTAAAGACATTGTCTTTGAGTTTCTGTGAAGTCTCTGATGAATTCGTTGCTAAGATCCTGTCTGGTTCTCCACTACTCGAAAGCTTGACATTGCATTACTGTGATAAACTTGAGCATCTTGATCTGACCAAAGCTCTGCAGTTATGGAGATTGGATTTAGAGACTCAGGGACCAATGCAGATTGTGGCACCACATGTCCATTTTTTGAGATTCAAACCCTCAGATTTTGAATGTTGTTTAGGAAATGTCTCTTCTTTAATCGAAGCTGACTTGAACATTTCATGTTCGGACACTCACGATTTGCGTCCACCGATGGTAATGGAGATGCTAGAAATGTTGCAGAATGTGGAGATGCTTACTTTTGGGACTATCTTTCTTCAGGTAAAAAACTGTCACATAGCTTACTCTGGTAGAATCATTTGCTTACACACTTGATATTTTGATTGATAATTCTATTGGTTTATGATTGTTTTAAGTGAAAATGTCATAAGCACATGCGATAAAATCCTTCTTTGTCATTGTTTTGAACACATTGTCCGAGTTCTGTGTTTCGGTTATATTGCATTGGTCATTTTATTTTCTTCTTCTTTTGTTAGATGTTATCTCTTGCCGAGCTCTGCGGTGATCCTTTTCCGACGCTCAAAGTTGAAGTTTTGACTCTTGAAACTTTGATTGATGCGACTGTTATTCCTGGTATAGCAAAGCTGCTACAAAACTCACCAAGATTAAAGAAGCTAAATCTACACGTAGCAGTGCCAGTGGGATGCAACCTCATCTTAACTGTATATACTTCTTACCATAATCTAAAAACCATGTCTTTTGGTTTTTTCCTTCTTTTTTTGTTGTTGTTGCGTTTTCTAATCTTATATATGAGATAGTGTTTATGTTTGCATCATGGAACATTTTATGTTTTACAGAAAAGTTATCTTGACACACATTTCGAATGGAATGGCTTGGATACAAATCAATGCTGGAAACCGAAAGATTGGGTCTTTCCAACTTCGTCTGAGCCAAAACTCACGAGGCTCATGGAATATCTACTGAAAAACATTGGTAACAATGGTTCGGAGGTTGACTCAACAATACACCTGGATTTGAAGTAGTGATTGAGATGGTTCGTACACTTTATCACAAAACAACATTTGCTATTACTGAGCATTTTATATTAATTAACCTCACCTAGAGGCTCTCTTTATGATGAAATTAACTGAATTTGGAACTTTTGATAGAATTTTTGAGTTGACCGCTTCCATTGTTTTATCCATGATCTTATTCAAAATCAAACATCTTTACTACTGTCACCTCATTTTCATTAGACTTACTCGAGGCGTTATACAGGATCATGTTTTCAAACCGACTTACGCCGCTTCCGGAAAGCCAACCGACTTGCCGGGTTTTCAAACCATGGTTCTTACGTCTAAAGAGGTAGTACCTAGTCACCGAAGAAGGTAATCGTCACTGTTTGGTAAGCCTAAGTTGTCTTTCGCGGTTTGACATTGCAAAGGGTCCCCATGATGAAGGTTATTTAGCAGTTTTGGTTCGATGTCTACTTTTGGTACTTGTCCATTTAGTTTCGAGTTATGTTTCCGGGAAAATCTTGTCTTCGTTCAGCTATGTTTCCGGGATTGTTATACAATCGTTGGCTTCTGTAAATAAAAATATTTTACTATACATTAATAAATTTTTGGTTAAATTGACAAAAAAAGAAAAATTCCATTAATAAGCATATCGATTAGATATGGAAAATTGATTAAATACACTAAATCAAATATTATAAATCTTGTTGGTTAGTATATAAAGTCCAAAGTTAGTAATTACATAAGATTTATTGAAATCCGACGGCCATGGAAGACGATTTCCGAGAGGACAACCTCGCCACGGCCACTGTCGCCGTAGCAAACCTTAGCCACCACTTTGATCATCGTCTTATAATCAACAGTGGTGTAGATTCAATCAGCTCTCTACCAGACGAGATCCTCCACCAAATCCTCTCCTTTATTACGACCAAGTTAGCTATCAAAACTAGCGTTTTATCCAAACGATGGAGACATGTATGGTGCCAAACACCTTGTCTCTACTTTCATGATCTTAATTCGTCTAGTGAATCGATTAGCGAAACCCTAGCCAGCTACTCTGCCCCCAAAATCACGAGCTTCCGTCTCTGTACCAACGTAAGGAAGAATAAAATAGATCAACTTGATAGCTTGATCAAGTTTGCAGTGTCTCGAAACGTGGAGAAGCTTTCTCTGGAAGTGGGCAATGATAGTTATATAGGTTACAGTTTTCCAGACTTCTTATTCGCCAGTTCTTCCTTAAAGCAACTCATCGTAGACACGAGATATGGTCTTATGATGTATCCTAGATGCACCGTGTCTTGGACATCACTGAGGAGTTTGTCTTTGATCTCTTGCCAACTCTTTGCTGGATCCTTTTCTAAGATGCTCTCTGGTTCTCCAATGCTGGAAAGCTTGACATTGAAGTATATTCGTTCACTTGAGTATCTTGATCTGAGTAAATCGCTACGCTTGAAAAGATTGGATATTAATTCCATCCCTTGGGCGAGCGAATCAATGCGGA